AGCGCTGCAGGAGCTGGGTGTAGCCGTGGATGCCGGGGTGTTGCTGCAGCTGCCGTAGGAATCCTTGCTCTTGCTCCTCTCGGGCATGTCACTGGCTGCTTTCATGTCAGCTTTGATCTGCTCACTGGTCACCTGGCAGCCCTTCTCACAGCTGCTCTCCTCCACAGGGAACTGCTTGGCCTGGCCCCCGTGGCTGGTGCTGCATCTCTTCCGCAGGGGGGTCTTGCCTTTGCCGCTCACTGCAGGGGTGAAGGGAGAGCAGTGAGAAACCACAACAAACCTCAGTGCTCCTCTCTGAAGGTACTGAAACACAGGGCAGCCCAGAGGCCCATGACAATCTCCCCAGGAATGGCAATTATTGGTATTTGTAGCTGTTGCTGCACCTTTGGAACATCCTGCAGGTATTTTTGGAGTGATGTGCTGGAGGGGTTTGCCACACAAATCCACCAGATTGTCCAGAGCAGCTCACTGCTCACACAGGCATAGCAAAATGAAAGACACACTGATAACAGAATCAAAGAATATGGATGGTTTGGGTTGGAAGGACCTTAAATCACATCCAGTGCCACCCCTGCCATGGCAGGGACACCTCCCACTGTCCCAGGCACTCCCAGCCCTGTCCAGCCTGGCCTTGGGCACTGCCAGGGATGCAGGGGCAGCCCCAGCTGCTCTGGGCACCTGTGCCAGGGCCTCACATCCTCACAAAGAGAGATTTTTTCTAATATCTAATCTAGAGAGGCTTCTGTTTTCTTAAATAAGAGGAATCAAACAGGAACAGGCAGGACTGAGGTTCGCGTTTCAGCAGCTCAGCTCCCCCTCCTGGGTCTGGGCAGTGCTGCCAGCAGCAACAGCAGGCTCAGCTCACAGGTGAACAAAAACCCAACAAATCATAACAGAACTTAATCCCAGGATCACTGAGGTTGGAAAAGCCCTCCCAGCCCATCCAGTCCCAGCTGTGCCCCATCCCCACCTTGTCCCCAGCCCAGAGCACTGAGTGCCACCTCCAACCTTCCCTTGGACACCTCAGGGATGGGGATCCAACCCTCCCTGGGCAGCCCCTGCCAAGGCCTGAGCCCCCTTTCCATGCAGGAATTCCTCCTGAATGTCTGTACAAATCCTCTCAGCTCATTACCCTGCCCCAAGCCCCAGATCCACAATATTTGCAGTACAGAATTGATGTAAATTCTCTCCAAACACCGATTCCTTCCCCCCTGAAGCCAGAACTGACACCCACACTGTGGGCTCAGAGCCCTGATAAATTCTGTGCACTGGGAATCCCAAAGGGGAGCTGCAGGTCTCTGATCAGTGCAGCACCACTATCTGTGTTTCTGTACAAGAGCTGTGGCTGCAGCTCAAACATCTCCTTCCACCTTCACTCCACATTGCAAACCAAGCTGGAAATGAACCTGAACCACGTGGAAAGACTGAAGCTTAAGCAGGAATGCTGCACACCTGAAGGTTCCCTGGTTTCCACTGGATCCCTGCTCTTCTCTTCCCCATCTGAGTAATTCTGTGCAATGCTGCTGGAGATGCAGGCCCTGGAAGTGCCCATGTTTTCCTCCTCATCCTCACTGTCTGAATCATGGATGGTAATAGGAGCTGCCTTTACAGCAGGTTGAATTCCACTTGGTCCTGAAAGGAGAATATCAGCATTTCATGTAAAAATTAACCAGGCATGGATTAAAGGGCTGAAAATCTTTTAGCACTGCTTGAAAAACTGATAAGAAATTAATTGGAGTCAATTTAGTCACCCATTCTGTGGGCCCCTCACTAAAATCTAAATGGGAGAAGAGCAAAATACTGCATGTCAGCATTAAAGTATTCTGGTTTGGAAGGGGAGGAGTGTCACAATGTAATGTTACTTCATGTTGTTGGGATATTCAGTAGAAAATTATATTGTCCAGCAAAAGGTTGCAGTAAGAGAATCAAGACTGCCTTGCGTCACTAATTAAATTAAATTAAATTAAATCAACACTGGAAAAGTTGTGCTGGCTTGAGAAAAGGCAAAAACAACCCAAGTGCTGCAGTGAAAGACCTGAGGCCATGAACACCAAGAGAGCAACAGGACAAGTTCATTGAGGCCTTCTGACTTTTATTATACTGAGCACAAAAATCAGGTTTAAGGTCAAGGTATTTCCCTGCAAAGAAAGCTCTGGGCTGTACCAGAGAATAAATTTCTTCATAGAACTAAGCTGTGCTAACATCATTATTCAAAATCAGGCAACCCTGCTGAAACCAAACATCCAAAACCAGACTTAGGGTGGAGAATGAATCCCTCAGGGAGATGCCAAAAGGGGATTTCTTCCCAAACCCAATTACCTGCTTGCTCCTCATCCACCTCCATGGGAACAACAGCCTGGCTGGGAGCTGGCAGCTCATCCTGGCCCTGCCCAGCAGCCTCCCCTTCCTCCTGTGCCACCTCCTCCATCTCATTCAGGGCTGCAAAGGGAACAGGAGGTCAGGAACAGGAAACAGAACAAACTGAGCCCTCAAACACCCACAGGAAATAATTGAAAACTGCCTTGATTCCTTTGGTGAACCCCTGGGTTTCACAAATTATCTCACAGATTTGTTCTGCAATCTCTGTAGCCAAAGCCCAGCCAAACTTTTGGGACTCAGCTCACTCAGATTAAAGCTCCACACCAGGAGCTGAAAGAGCAACAAGCTTTCAGGGCAGATTCCCATCTTCACCAGGAGGGAGTGGGACTGCAGATAAAAAAGCTCCCCCAGGATTCCCCTCAGCTGCAAACCCCCCCAAAGCCCCCCAGGATTACCCTCAGCTGCAAACCCCCCCAAAGCCCCCCAGGATTACCCTCAGCCCCAATCTGCTGCTCCTCAGCGGGGCCCTCCTGGTGCAGCTCGTTCTCCTCGTTCTGCTCGTTGGGGTGCTGGTGGTTGTTGTGGTGCACGTTGGGGTTGTTGTTGTTGTTGTTCTGGTGGTTGTTGTTGTTGTCATTGTCATTGTTGGAGTTCTGATTGCTCACCAGGGCAGAGGAGACCCCAATTCCTGTGCCTGCACTTAGGCCCACACGAGCACAGCCCTGAAAGAAAGGCAGAAATTCAGATTTGAGAAGATGGATCTGTTATCTCAACATCCCCTAAAGGCACCAGGAAAACCACTCTGCTGGAATGTCTGGGACAGCAGAACTGTCCCTCAGATTTCCTGAGAGCAGAGGTCCATCCTCAGGCTGGCAACCCAGAACTTACACTGTTTAACTCCTAATGAAAGTCCTCAAAGCACTTCATTTTAATCTATTAATTGTGTTAATCTCCCTTATTTGCTGTAGGGTGATGACATGAATACAAACAGCAGATCAGAGCCTTCCCAGCACACCAGCTACCATTAATGGCCAAAGGAAGCAGGTTTTACACTCTGCATTGCCTGCCAGCAGCTTACCAAGGATTTGTGTTACACTGTGGGAGGGGACAATGTGAAGAAATAAAATTCCTAAGCTCTGAAAGCACTTCAAAAGGAAAACACTACCCCCATTTCACACAGCAAAAATTCATAAAAACCTCTTAGTATTGTAAAGAGATGCCTAAGAGGAAAGAACAATACAAAGAGCAGCAGCACAGTGAAATATCAGCAGAGACCTTGAGAGAATGACTGAGTTTTATTTTTGATAGAATCAATGAGTTCTATTTTCTGGTCACACGTTCATTCCCTGCCACTGCTCCCATTTGCAGAAGCAGCACCACTCACCCCAGCATATCATGCTAAAAGCAACTGCAAACCAAAGGCATTTATTACCAATCCCCTCAATTAATGACAGCTTTGAGAGGAATGCACACTGGTGTGCCAATGAAATGGAAACAAGTAAAAACCCTGGCAATGAGAAAAAGCCAAACCATTCTCTGGAATTTACCTTTGGAGGCTCTCTAAACATCTGGTCCAGAGAAATGAACTCCAAGCTTGGCAGTAACTCGATGAACTGACTGAAAGAGTCCAGCTTGATGGCATGGCACCTCACCAGGGTCAGGTCAACCAGGCGGGTCCACCTCGAGTGGTCTGGAACACAAGAGAGGCCCTTCCTGAGGGATTCCCACCTCACTCCTTGTTCATCACCCCCTCTTCAGATCTGAGAGCAGCATCCTCTGGATCTCCATCCTGCTCCCAGCACCACCGTGGCCCCAAAGCAAGCATCATCTACTGTACTTACTAACAACAGAACAAGCAGTACTAGAGCAGAGAAATTCTGGTTTAGCACAGAAATTCATAGAATAGCTCTGAAATTTCAAAGGTGTGCAATACCTGTGATCCAATTATTTGGGTTATGTAGATGTGGGCAGTTGTAAATGACCAGATACTTGATGAAAGAAAAAACTTCATTTACAGCTTTCATACCAATATCTGTAATAATTCCTGGGTTTTCAACCACATCAGCCAAGCCGTACCTCACCAAGTCCGTACTCGTCATTTTACCTACAAAAGAGAGGAGCAGACACAGCAGTAAATTTGTATTTTATAGCAGGATTTTCTAACTCCCTACTGATCAGATCATTCCTTTAATAAAGCTCAGCCTTCCCAACTTCAGGGAGTGAGGAAAACCAGATTTGGCTGTATGAGATCAGCAGCCTCAACACATGCAACATTAATATTCTCATTTATCACTGAGAACATGATGGAAAACACAGCAATTTCTGTAATCCTTGTGTTATTTATGGATATAAAAAGTGTCATACACTGTAGTAAAAACTCATCAACGTAGCCTAGGTGAAGAGTTTCAAACTGTGGGAATTCCAGTTCAGCCATCTTCAAAGCAGAAAAAACACCATCTTTGGTCAAGGAAGGCTGGATCCGCACTTCGTGCAACCTGCAGGGAATTCAGAATTGTTCCTTTCAAAATTCAGGCCAAAGACAGAAACCACTCCAGAAGGTGCCCTGTTCTAATAAAACAGAGACTCTGGCAGGACTCAGAGGGCATTTGCAGTTATTTTAATCACAGAACCCTCTTGTTATGCAAAGTTTGTATGTGTATTCCTTAAACTCTGATGGCTGCTCTGGCTCTTGGATGTCATTTCTAAGACATTTATTTTGAAAAAGGGGAAGCCAAGAGAGATCTGAAGGGAGGTACCTTCGTGCAGCAGTTATGATGAGGTAGCCAAGATCCACTTCAAGTGCATTCTTGCAAGCTCCCAGAACTATAGTGTGCAAATTCCTAAAACCACCTGGCAAATAAAGAACAGCCTTCTTACACTCCAGCCTCACATCACAGCCCTCAGCCCTACACATTTTCACCAGTGTTGTCTTAACCTTTTTCAGCAAATGAAGAAAACAAATATTTGCACCTAACTCCTCCAATTCTGGTTCTGCTCATCAACAAATGTAGCTCATTAAGAGTTAATTGCAGTTAGAATATCACAACTCCACCCAATACAGAGCATGTTCAGCACTATGACCATAGTTTCAAACAATCAAAAAAGAACATGCTACAGGAAAAAAGCCCCCAGAATTTGCTAAAGCTGAAATAAATTAATTTATTTTTATTTAGGTATGAGGGAGTAGGAGTTTCCCACCAGATCTCCAGCTGTCTTCTACCACGTGCTGGATAAGTCCTCCAAGAAATGGAACACGGACCAGCTCCAAGTGCTCCAGATTCCTGGCAGAAGCCAGGCCTGTCACCAGGGGAACATACTTCAGAGAGTTTGTGGGTCCTGCACACAACAAGGCCAGAAAGACAGAGCAGATTGTTCACTTCTCCCTGAATTATCCCACGGAAGAACTAAAACACATCCACACAAATCCCTCTAGAGCAGGAAGTCAACAGAAGCACACAGCACCAAGTAAGGGACAGGACAGGGGGAGATTTCTGCCCAACACCAAAAACCAAACAAGGGCTGCTCTCAGAATGTGAAATTCCAAGACTTTAACAGAACCAGATTTCCTCCATGCTCTACCATCCCCTTCAGACAGGAAGAATCCCTCTTACCAGCACAGTTCCTCATGACAAAAGCACGTAAGCTGATACAAAGGAAATCTTTAAAAGGCTGTGGTTTGGTGAGTCTCACCCACTTCAAATAAAGGTGCCTCAGCATTGGGATACAAGGAATCTCAGGGACATTCACCCCTAATAATACATAAACAAAACAAACAAACATTTTAAACAAGCTTCAAACTAATCCCCTGCATGACAAATTCCTGGCTTTCAAAAGGAAGCTTTTCTGTGCTTTGTGGCAAGTGAGAAAAGCTGTGAACCCTTGAAACACAAGTTCTTCACCTTGGTTTGTCAATAATTCTTTAGAATTTGCCCTCTGCACCTGCTATCAAATATCCAACTAAGATCTCCAAGATGCCACAGCCCAAACTCCCTCTCCTCCAAAGAATTACAAATCTGCAGAGTTTCAAAGCCTTTAAATCCACCTGTGTTGAAGCCAACTACTTCACCACGACCACACTCACCTACTAAGTGCAAAGTCTGAATTTTAGCTCCTATAGGAATTTTCAGCTTGTTCTCAGGAGGAATTGGAAAAGCACCATTACGATTACGAAACTTCCCTAAAATGTGGACTTGGGGCATGTATGTCCAAATAGCTTCCACCAGCTCTAAATGAGAGGTCTCAACACCCTGGATAAAAGGAAGCAAAGCAAATGCTCTAACACCAGTTCAACAACAACAACATCCTCTTAACCATGTAAACTACAGAATGCAACGTTATTTCACTTTTCATTTCTAGCAAGACTTTGTCTGTTTCAAAGCAGAGGGATCAGAGCTTTAATTCCTTGCTGGGCTTAAGAGCACCTGGGATTCCCAGTGGTGCAACTAAAAATAGTTGTGATCAGCAAGCAGGGTCACAATTTAACTCCTCCCTGTGCAGCCAGGCCTAAACCAAAGCCCTGGAAGCACCAAGTCCCTGTCACAACTTTTAACAGTGCTGAGAGAGGTTCTCTCCCAAGTCCAGCCACTCACCAGCAAATTTGGACAGGCCTGCAAAGCCTCTAAAACTCCAGGAATGCTGAAAGCTTCGTGGCCACGGACTCGGCGCCTTTCCAGATACCTGGGATGAAGACCATAAAGTTGTTCAATGTCTGGCATCTTCCTCAGCAGGGTTAGGAAGCTGGAATCAGTGAAACCTAAGACAACAACAACACATTTGGTATTGGTGTGGCAGCAGACACTTGGCTCTGAAGGGGAAGCCAAACACACTTCTCTCCTTATGTGGCAGTACAAGTTCTGCGGTGTTGAAAAGATGCACTTGGTGAAGCAATAGCTTTTCTTTTCCTTCCACATTCTAGAAATCATGACCTAAATACTCCTCTGCCTTGAATTTTGCAGGTTTGCTACAGGTTTCCTTCAGAGAAGCTGCATGGCTGCAAGGTTCACTGTGCTCTCTCCCTCCTCACATGCAGCTTTGTGGGTCTATTTTTCCTGGAATTCCATTTATCAACTCCAAAGGTCAAAAAAATCCCAGCTGGATCCCTTATTCCAGTTCACTATTCACCAAAGCTCACATTTCTCACAGAAACAGGATGGTTTCTTAAAGCAAAGGTTTATTTTATTTTAGTGAAAGACAGCATATAAAAAGGATTTTAACTGGCTAAGTTACTTGCATTTACACCAATTTTAGGTTAGGTCTAAACACCTGCTTAATACCAGCTGTAGTCAATCTCAATTTGCAAATCCTCTCATTTTCACAATTCCCTCCTTTTAGCTGTGTCCCCCACCAAATCCCAGCTGTGCAATTTAAACCCAACAGAAATCCTGGTACAGGGCTCACCCAGACTGACAAATTTATCTATTGATATGCAGGTGACTCAAGGTGTGACATCAAACCTTACTCTTACATTGTTAAGTGCTGGCAGATGAGTTGCTCTCTCACTCCATTGTATTTTTTGCTGCCTGCATGCAAACACCCTCTTCATGGCATAACCCCTGGATAAACTCCCTTCCAGCAATCAGACAAACACAGATTGTATTGCCAGGTGCCTACAGAGCACTCCCAGTCACACAATCACAGAATGAACTGCCTTGGAAAAGACCTTTGAAATCATCAAGTCCAACCTATGACCTAATACAGCAACGCCAAATTTGTATTTACACGCAGACAGAGACTTGGCAAGACATTCCCCAGGACAGCCAGGCAAAGGAAGGGGAGACCCAATCAAGTGCAGGGTTACTGAGCAGAGGGGAGAGGCAGGGAGCAGCTCACCTGTGGGCATGTACTCCCACCAGTGCCCCGCACACAGATCCACCACCTTGACCACGCGCAGGTACAGCGTCACCGCCTCCTTCAGCTTCCGCGACAGGCACTCCATGCACATGATGTCCTGCAGGGGCAGGTACCTGGGGACACACAGACAGCCCTGAGCAGCTCCAG